AAGATGAGGCAGGGAGACCAATTAGCAGGCTATTGCTAGATGAGAGGTAATGAGAGCTGAACTAGGGGTGTGTCTGTGTGAGTTGTTCAAATGAACTTCTGATTATGAGAAATTACTATAACCATATACTGTAAAAGTTTAGCTGATATAAAAGCAACCTCCATGAGTAACCAAGAGAGACCTGAAAACATCTTAGCTAGCAAACATTTTTTCTCTTCCCAAACAGATAGAGATGGCAGCCAAGGTTAACAATGGTTTAGAATACAAACTAATCTCTAAGTACAGTGGAGGGAGATGATGGAAAATTAGAAGGAAAATTGCCTCATAAAACACTGAAAAGCAGTGGAATCAAAAGGAAACATAAAGCTTAGTATGAGAAACACCTGAGTCATATCATCCCTAGAGCATTCATATATTAAATTTGGAGGGGACAACAAACATATAAAATGGAATATATCTGTGATATTTCTATGATAACCTATTTTCATCATCAGTAAAGGAGAAACAACCAAATGGACCTTAACAATTCAGTTCCCAAGATGGTATATAAAGAAATATAACTAACATCTAAAAATATTAAATGAGGAAGAGTGGCTGGTCCAAAATATATTGAGGAAATCCAGCCTGAAAGTGACATAATCTTGAAAAAATGGTATGATTACAAGATATCTCCATGAAAGGAAGGTGCCAAAAGAATGGAAACAAAATCACAGATGACATAAATGTAGTGTTGCACAGTGTATAGCATCCTGGTCATGGAGTCTGAGAAACCAGAGTTCAAATCCTTCCCCTGACAATTGTTCTATGTCCTTGGCAAGTGACTTAGTCTTTATTTAACTTTGGCAACTCTTTAAGAATTACCTTATAAATCATAGATGGATTATAATATGCTGCTTTGTATTGGTGGTGGGATGAGTTACTCAAGCCAATGAAATGATAGATTCTTTGCATATTAGAGATATTTTAATATTCCAAAAATTGGCTGAGAGAGCAACAGAACTATAGATCCACATAACTACTTCTCATTGTTAATAAAATCTTTATAAGAATGATAAACTGTTTATATATAGAAAGTATCTTTAGTAAAGCTATAAGAAGATAACATGTGGTCTTTTGTGAACTCTCTAGCAGACTACATTTTTACAGTTTAGTCCCCATTTAATTGATCCTTTTTCCCCTGGGATAGAAAGCATTTAGCCTAGAAAGGGCTTCAGGGATTCAGAGGGGAATTGTTGGGTGTAGATATACTTTGCTCTAATGACATGGGCAGAAGGGAAGTGAAAATGTTTTTACATAATTACAAGGAATGTAAATTCACCTGGAAGAAAGGAAATTGCTTAGCATATTTGATGGAAACCCTGAGATCCTGAATAATAGTGAGGGAGCTTAAGCCTCCACAGAAGAAGGCCATCAGCAGATACCTCTAAATGGTGTAAACATTTGGTATAATTAGCTCGATGAGGATGAATTTAATTATATAATAAATCACATTTGGCTTCAATTACTATTTGATCTAAGCCTGCTAGTATTATGCCTAGTATCAGTAAGTCAATCAAGGAAGAAGCAATTATTAAATACCAACAACCAATTAATTATTAAGTACCTAACAACTACATTAGATGCTGAGGATATAAAGACAAAAGTAAACAGTCCTTGCCCTTTAGGAACTTACTATCTAGTCAAGAAAGACAAGATGGACATACATACATAATTTTGTGGGGAAGGAATTAGCATCTGTGTATGGGGTTAGGAAAGAGTTCATGTTGGAGGTAGCACTTTAGCTAAGCCTCAAAGGAATATAGGGATTCTAAGAGGTGGAGGTGAGCAGAAAGTGCATTCCTCCTATGGGGCACAGCCAATGAGAAGGGATCAAGAGCCATTTGACCTGTTTGGCCAGAATGCAGGATAAATGAATAATGACAACAATCTGGAGATGCTGAGTGAAGTGACTTGTCTAGCACCACACAACTTGTATTGTATACAGGCAGCATTTGAATTCAAGACTTCTCGACTGCAAGTCCAACACAATCTATTGTGCTACCTAGCTGCCTAAAAGGATAATGTATAATAAGGCTGGAAAGGTAGGTTGAGGACAAATTGTGAAGGTTTTTAAATGCTAAATGCATAGTGGCACAGTGGCAAGGTCACTGTACTTGGAGTCAAGAAGACCTGAGGTCAAATCTTACCATACACACTTACTAGCCATTTGACCAAGGTCTGACCATCAGACCAAGCTCTCTGTACTTTAATTACTCCATCTGTAAAATGATTCAGTAGCCTCTAAAGTGCCTTCTAGCACTCAATCTATTATCCTGTAATCCTGTAATTGGGAATTGCTGAAGTTTATTGAGTAGAGGAGTGATATGGTTAGATCTGTGCTTTAGGAAAATTACTTTGGGAGCCAGGTGGAGGATAGACTAAGGTGGGGAGAGATTTGATGAAAGGAGACAAATTAAGTTGCTATTGGCAATAGTCCAAGAAAAAGTTAATGAGGGTCTGAACTAAGGTAGTGGCTGTTTGAGGGAAGAGAAATGAAGAGATGAGATGTATTGGAAACTGGCTGGACACGTGGGATGAGTGATATTGAGGAGTCGAGAATAATACAAAATTTGTGAATCTGGGCTACTAGAAGGATTCTGGCCTCAAAAGAAATAGGGAATTTTGGAAGAGGTTTGTGGGGAAAAATAATTAGATTTGTTTTGAACATGTTGATTTTGAGATGCCTATAGAACAGCTGTTGATATAGAACTGGAGGTGTAGATAGAACTAGAGATAAAGAGCTGGAGAGAAACTAAGGCTGGATATATAGATCTGGGAGTCACCATCCTGATGATGACAATTAAATCCATGGGAACTCATAAGGTTACTGAGGTGTAGGATATGTATTGACCACACAGGAAAAGACATATTTGTATAGATTATCAAACTTTACTGGGGGAAATTTGGCCAACCCTTCTCCAAGGGAGACATATATATATATATATATACACACACACACACACATATATATATATATACACACCTATCTATACATATAGTATATATGTATATACATGTGTACATGAATACCCTCTAAATATTGCTGGTTGATGGGTACAATAGGATCAGAACAAAAGGCACTTCCCTGGTTGCTCTTAAAGGGCAGGGTAATTCCAACCTCACACCTGTTAGCATGGCTCCTTCTCATCAAATGCTAGTTATACAAAAGCCCATCACAAATAGCAGAGAGAAAACTCATTTATTCAAGTAAAGAGCCAACAGAAAGAGAAGTGTTCTATATGTGTGTGTGTGTGTGTATACACACACATATGTATATATACACACATATATACACATGCATGTATGTATGCACACATACATATATATATGTAAATATATAGTATATTTTATATATTAGGATATACTAAAAATAAACAAGAATGAATGTGGTTTTTAGGTGGAAGCAAGATGAGATTTTTGTTTGAATCAAGAGAGAGGTTCTGATATCACCTAAGGGAAAGGTCCCCAAAGTCCTCTAGAGAGGCAAACTGAAAACCAAGGACAAGTTGGAGAGCTAACTTTCTTTACATGTCTTCAACTTCCATAGTCTTTCTTTCTCTCCACATCTCTCCCAAAGAGTTGCTAGAACTACTGTGTCCTCATATGGGTATACAACATCTGGTTGTCTTTTTTCCACCAATTTGGAATTACCTCTCTTTCCACATATTTAGTCAAATCCAAAGCTCCCTAGATTTACTTGGAAATCCAGTTAACAGAAAGAAGTGTGTACACAGTGATAGGAGTGGTGGGTACAGGGTTAGGCCATGCTGACTGACTAGTTCTTATCTCCTAAGTAACTTGATTTTTTTAAAACTAAAGACATCATACTCCAGAGTCAGGCAGAGCTCTGTGTTGATGTCCTATACTACCACATGTACGACAAAGTGGAAAGACTACTGAATCTGGAATCAGATCTGGGTTTAAATTGTGGTTCTGTGACCTGTGGTACTTTGGGAAGCTCATTTCACCACTCTGTGCCTCAGTTTCCTCATCTGTTAAATGAGGGACTTGGACTATGTCAAGTCTAATTCAGGCCTCTTCCAATTCTAAATCCTATGAACCTTAATTTTAAAGAGCTAGGAATACAAATCAAACAAGCCAATTTCAAATATTGACGATGGGAAGCTAGCCAGTACCTGCAAATAGTACTCTTTCCAAGCTGCTATGCCCCAGTACCCCTCAGATTTATGGAGTTCACTTTGGTGCTCTAGCTTCTCTGTTTGGCTACAAGAAGGAGAGGGGTTTTGTTGGCAGAGGAAGGGGTTGTGTGGTGATAATGATGCAAAACTAATTATAGACATTTAGCTGTATTGTGTGCTATATGCAATTCTTTTTATAGAAGAAACTAAAGGTACTTAGAAGTAATCTCTCGCCCCCAAATTCTGTGATTAGAGCAGTTGATTTAATATATTTATTAACATAATTTTTATACATAATTATGACACATTTATATAGTACTTTGAGGTATATAAAGTTCCTTCTACATAATAAACCCATAAAATAGAGAAAGAATTATTGTCCCCCATTTTACTGATGAGGAGAGGTTCAGAGAATTGAAATGACTTTCCCCAAAGTTACATATCTCGTAAGTGTTACAGTTAGTGTTGTGAAGGTTAAAATCTCAAGATGAGAATTTTCCTTCACAATCTCAAGTTTTATTTAAAATATGAAATTCATGATTTGCATGCAGATAGCAACAGCTGTGAGGTAGAAAAATTTTGCAGATTTTTATATGTATTTATGAAGTACCAACAGAAGATGTATGAGGGGAAAAGGAAACCATGTACATAGAATAACCATGACACTTATATAAGACAAGAAGTAATTTAGTGTCACTTTTTACCAAAAAGAAATACTCCTCTGAATTGAAATAGGTGAAAAGAGAGCCCATATCAAATATATTAGGACATTGTGTTTTGTTTTGTTTTGTTTTGTTTTTTTACATTGCGTTCATTAGTTACCTTATTGACAGGAATTATGTTCTTAACATTGAAGTAGAATCCGAAATAAACCATGTTGAAAATGCCGTGTCGTCCTAAAGTTGCTGTGAGTCCTTTGTTGAGCCCCTGGAGCCCCAGACCTTTTGTTTTAATGATGTCTCTTGCATAACTCAGAGTGGATGGTTGCTGCAGCAAGGAAACAAAACAAAAAGAGTCACCTTTGAAGTTATGAAGAGAAAAGTTACCTCCTTAGCTTCTATTTAAGTCAGAGGCATTAGAGATTTTTCAACCATGCATCAGTATTGTTAATAACTGAGTTAAAAAAATGGAAAGTCCAATTAAATCGACAAGGATAGATTTTGTAATAAAAGAAGGGTAAGCCATCCTCTAAAGAACTAAAGAACCTAACAGCATCTACTACTTACTACCACCTTTAACAGGTAAACAAATAGAATCAACTCCAGTTTATCCTCAGTAATAGAGGGGAGTGGCAAGATGGATAATCCAAAGCAGTGGATAACACTTGGGGCATTTATATTTGATTACTGAGTGCATTATGTGACTTTTCTTGAAGCAGATTTACATTTCTAATTGTATAATACCCAAAGGCTAACACTAAATTTACTAAGGCTAATACTAAATTTACTTCATACTCTCTAATAGAAGAGGGGAAGTGAGTCCTAGACTAAAAATTAGCCATGTATGTGTGTGTGTGTGTATGTGTGTAGATATATATATATATTCATGCTGCAGGAGTTAGCTGTAATTTGCTGTGCCCACCTCACTAGCCACAGATTATTCTCTGTGGTTCAATAGCTTTGGGCTACTAAAATCTTCTCTGTGGGGCTTGGATTTTAGCTACTTCTAACATTCGCCTATGAGCTCCCCTTCATGAACCTGGTGTTCATTTGACTGTTTTTAAATGATGGGCAGGAGAAGGAACTCCTACATATTTTTCCATAGTAATAAACATGTATGAAAAGGGTCCAAAATTTGAATTTTTGTGAACTGACTGGAAGCATGAAAAGCAGGGCCCCATGATGCAAACAATGGCATCTGCTTGAACCCTTCATCTGGAGCAGTGCTCATTAGAGAAAGTCATGGAAATATTATGAGTTTTTCTAATTAAAGATGTTTTCTTAAATGTGCAAATAAAGCCAAATCACCAGAATAAACAGAGCAAGTATTATATAGTCCCTTTAAACATCTTACATTCACAGTCATCTAATTAACATGATGCACAGGAATTAATCTGTACAGTAAATTCCTACAGTTCCTGCTAATACATGGTTTAATAAATTCATAAATCAGCTGAAATTCTCTAGTATCACTCATCTATTCATTTAGATGGATTAGCTAGATTAACCAGGACAAATAGTATTAAATTCAAGGAAATCTTTTCTCCCTTATAAATCATTAAAAACTACATGTGATAATGTATTAAACCAATAAATGATACTCCAAATGATAATTTGGAGAGTAAAAAAAAAATAACACCAAACAAGTATTCTGAGGTTTAATTTTTAGCTCCACAAATGGGACTTTTTTTGGTGTGTACATTCCAGTAATTGAATAATAATATCAATTACTTGTTTTTATTTTTAAAATAGTTCCATAACAAACTAACTAGAGGTTAATCCCTTCAGGGAAGATCCTAGCCCACTGCTGATTCCTCAGATCAAGAATGATCAAAGGGGAAAAGTGAGAAGAGTGCAGCTGTCCTATAGAAGTGGTACAAAATAGAAATAAAGTAAGTCATAGAGTCCCCTCTTTCTAATATAAACATTTTCACAAATCCCCCTTATGTTGCCATCAGCAGGATGCAAGGTGTACAAAAAAGCTTAGAACTCAACTGAGTGACATTAAGAAGACTTTTGCCCCTGGTGGGACTGAAGACTCTCTTGGGTCAGAGTGTTCATGGCTCTGTCATTAAACAAATATTCGAGAAGTATTAATCAAACACTTACCATGAGCTATCCCTATATTGCATTTTGCAATGAATTCAAAGAAGTATATAGCGTGTAGTTCCTACAATGAAGAGGTTGATAATAGTTATACTAAAAAGAAGCATCAATGCTTCTATACTCTCTTCTATCCAACAGAAGGCATTTACCCAATGACAACCAAAAGTTGGAAGAGATTTGTGTGAGAGGAAGAGAAGCACATAGTAGGCACTTAGTAAATGCTTGTTGAATGAATAAATTAGAAAATGAATGAGTGGTCTTTATTTTTTTTTTTAATCCTGCTCCACTGAGGTATCCTTTCCATTTCCCATGAGGTATTCTTTCCTTTTCCCTTTGTCCCTGGACACTTGCAACTAATCAAAATCTTCCAGTTCTAAACTCCTTTGAGATTCAATCAAGTATATAACCCCTGTGATTGAAGATGATTTCTTCAGGCATAGGAACTTTTCAATAGATACCATCCTTTCTGTAGTTCTAGTGTGTATCTCTGAGTGTGGGAGCGTATCTAAGTAATTACTTTCCTTCTCTTCTCTCCCAAGTAACAGTTTTTATGGTCTGCCCTGCTTCACCAGTCTTTCAGCTATAAAATTATATATAATATATATTACATATGACCAGAACTTCATAATGAAAACACAGTTAGATTCAGGTCACTGAAGTGCCCAGGATCATAAGAAGTTAAATGATAGAACCAGGACATGTTGGAGGCAGGAATGGAACTTAGAACTTCCTGATTCTAAGGTTAGGTTACCATCCACAAGCTATTTTGTTTTTATATACAATACCCCCATAGCACAACTATATATTCAGTCTCTTAAGAGCTTTGGCAAATAAGACAATTCATAAGAATTCTTGTAAATTAAGTTAACTTACAGTGTGAAAATTTGTCTTTATTTGTTTTGTTCTTGGATACTGAATCATCTACACATAAGCAAATATTTAATTAGAAAGGCAAAATATGATTTTCAATGGGATGCTAAATAGGAAAATATAGACCCATTTTTACCAGTTCTCTGTCAACATGGGGAATTTTACTAAACTTATTTGATTACTGAGCTTCCATTTCAAAACAAAAGGCTGACTGATAAGCATCATAAGCCAAATGATTCCAATAATATCCAACTCAACAAGTCATTCCTGAGAAGACTGAACTCAGTTTCCTTCTAATATTTTAGTTTCGCTATAATTTTCATATTTATTTGCTAATCTTTGGTAAGGTTGCATTCTAACTCCCTCATGTGTACCTTAAAAGGAAATATGTGCATAAAAGTGAAAATAAATGAACTAGACCAGGCTAATGGTAGAGTAAAATCTTCAATACATTGAGACCTATGAAAATTATTAAAAATTTTAAAGGCTCTCAAAGCTCTGGCAACAATGATTTTAGTACTACTAATCACAATAATGCAATAGTGACCAGAACTCCTTGTGTTTAGAGTACCTAGCAGAGTACTCCTTAATTGTTCATAAGAGATATGACAGTTTTTAACCTGGAGGTTAATACACAATTAATTAAGGCAACAAGTTAAGATATATAATCTAATTATTGCCTGCCATTTGTACAGGAGCTCAAAGTTAAAAGTACCCAGTTTTGTTTTTTTTAAAGACTATAAGTGGTGTAATCTAATAGACAAGAACCTTTGGCTGAACAGTGCTCTCTGACACCACGCTGGGGCACTGATTCATTACAGACTGAGGCAACAGTCTTACCAATAAATCACTAAGACAATTTATGGCAACTTGCTGTATTTTTTCTGGACTCCCTCCACCCAAATGGTGACCACGTCTGGCTCAGCTTAACATGTGAGCTCACAGCAAGAGGTGTTAGGCTGCAGGCATTGTTCTTTAGGTAAATAAGCACCCAAGTGTGGCCAACAAGTAGAATCCTATATGATCTACCAGTTCTAAGACAGGATGTCAGTGGCTTTCCTCCTTTAAGAAGAACCCCTTGGCTGAAGTAACACCATGTCAAAAGATAGCATGGTTCATATATGTTCATGTCTTCACTTCCCAAAAGCAAGGTGAATTTTATAGCATTCCAAAGCCAATACATTGCATTAGATTTAATTGTGTGACCGAAAAGCAAACCAGATGAGACCTTTACACAACAGACTGAGCCTGGAGGCTTTTAAAAATGTTCTATTGTTTAAAAAAAGAAAGAAAAGAGAGAAAGGGCAGGAGAAGGGAGAAGAGAAGAGAGACAAGAAGAAAGGAAGAGAGGAGAAAAAGGGAAAGGAGAAGAGAGAGGAGGAAAGAGGAGAGAAGAGAGGATAAAAGGACATAATTGATTCTGGTAGGTCGGAAAATATTCTTTCTTTTCGGCAGAAATAAGGTCATTAGTGTTTTTCTTTAGTTAGGTGAAGCCTTAAAAATTTGAAAAAGTACAACAAATATTTCTTACTTCTTACTTTTGAAAGCAAAATGAAAGTGCAGGCATAAGAAACAAGAAAAAATAGTCTGCCTTTTTACATTTCCTTTAGCTTAGATTTTCATAATCTATCAGCTTCATTGTGTGAAATAATATTAAAAACAAAAAATGACATTATTAAAAGCAACTCTATTTGACAACAAATAAGAAGATTTTAAACTAATTCATTAGGTCCCATCCAAGCTTCTATTCTGTTGGCTGGGAGAACAGGTTTTCGTAAATAACAACTCCTAAACACAGGGACTTAATACTGTTTAAACACAGGACTGTTGCCTATGCAAACCTGACTGGCTAGCCACAAAGGACATGGGTCCAGCATGCAGGCTGGGTGTTTCCCCAAGTACATAGCTACTTTTTTTAAAACTACTTTTTTATTTATTTCATTAACTATTTCCAAATTACATGCAAAAAAATTAACAATAATTTTTTAAAATTCTGAGTTCCAAATTCTCTCCCTCCCTTCGACCTCAACCCCCCTCAAGAAGCCAAACAATTTGATATCCATCATAGATGTGAAGTCATGCAAAAAATACTTCCATGTTAGCCTTGTTTCAAAAGAAACCACAAACAAAATAAAACAAAAAATTTTTAAAGTTTTTAAAAGTATGCTTCAATCTGCTGTCAAAGTTCATTGGTTCTCTGTGTGGAGGTGGATAAACATTTTTCATCGTGGGTCCTTTGGGATTGTCTTAGATCATTGTCTTGATCAGAGTAACTGTCTCTCACATCAACCATACAATATTACTGTTACTGTGTACTGTTCTGGTTTTGCTTACTTCAATCTGCATGAGTTC